GGACAAATTCTGTACAAGTTCAGGATGGTGCCGCTGTCCTGTTTACCACCTCCCTGTGGCAGTTCTCTCTCTGCTGGGTTAGAGCCCTGAAAGTGCCAGTCCTAGCCTGTAGCTACCAGAATCCTGACACTCTGTACCTTTCCTCCTGCAGAAGTCTCAGCCCCTTGATAGTTCTGCTTCCTGGTCAGCCCAAGGATGAACCTAGAGTCACTCTTCCACCCTACGGCTTCCTCTCTGCATGGTGGGGGATGCCACGATGGGGTCTCTCAACCACATTGATTCAGGGAACAGGTTCTGGGCTGCCCATGTTCTTGTAACCTTGGCATACTTGGGGAGCGCTGGGTTTTCACGTGCTGGTCGGAGAGCCTATCTGGCCTCCCATGGAGCTGCCTATTCCTCAGTATCAGCCACATTGGCTGGTTTCAACCAGAGTTCCCATTTGTCCCGGGTCAAGGAAGTACATTTATTGAATGAACTTAATGATGTACATGTGTGTGGGTGTGCAGAGCCCCTGAAGAAATGTACTAAGTTTACAGTTTGTGCTAACTTGTAAGCAAAATTATCAACTTGGCGCATGCCCTTGGGCAAGTGACGTCCCTTATCCTTACCCTCATCAACATCTTGGTTTCTAACCTTGAAAAAAACAAGAAGGTTGGGTAAACCTGCAAATTCCCTACGATCCCTAATCTTCCATTGTGTCCTGGGTGTATCTCAGCTTCCTTGTCAGAACAGAGATTGACAGTCATAAGGAAAGGATTCCTGGCAGGAAAGGTGGAAGGGATTTGAACCTCATTTCCTGGGCTTGGATGCCCTTCGTGATTTGTGATTTGTGACTTGAATCTTGAGGATTTTGTACCTGAGGACAAAGAGAAAGGTTTTGTTGTTGTTGTTGTTGTTGTTTGGTGAGGAAGATTGGCTCAGAGCTAACATCTGTGCCAATCTTCCTCTATTTTATGTGGGATGCCACCACAGTGTGGCTCCGTGAACTATGCTAGGTCTGCACCCAGGATCAGAACCCACGAACCCTGGGATGCCAAAGTGTAGCATCCAAACTTAACCACTATACCACCGGGTCAGCCCTGATAAAGGATTTTTTTCCCCCGGACAAGAATCATAGAATGTTGTTCACCAGCAGAACCACAAGGATTCTAGACTTGCGCTGTCCAATATGGTAGCCATTGGCTGCACATGGCTATTTAAAAATAATTAAAATTAAACAAAATTTAAAAGCCACTTCCTCAGTTACAGTAGCCACAGTTCAAGTGCTCAATAGCTACATGTGGCTAGTGGCTACCTTATTGGATGACACAGATATAGAACATTCCCATCTTCATACAGAAACTTCTATAGGACAGTGCTCTCCTAGACCGATCTTTTGCAAATGAAGAAACTGAGGCCCATAGAGGGGACATGACCTCGCCAAACATGTTATGGGCAGAGAACAAAGGTACCAGACTCCCAGGCCTGACTCATTGTTCCACTCCCTGCTGCTTCCTTCTTCCATGCCTCTCTGGGCTCCCAACTCAGAGCCCCTAGTGGGCCCAGCATGTGGGCCAGGCGGCTGGGCTGGTCCCAGGGGATGTTTGTGACTGAGCAGAGCTCCAGATGCTGCACATTCCTGGTAGGGTCAGACCTGCCCCGCGGCATTCAGGGAATTAGCTTCTCTGACTAGCTACAGATCTTTCCGGAGCTGCCCTCTTCTGCCCAGCCCAGGGGGCTGTTTGGCTCTCTGAGCAATCTTATTGCCTTGGGTGAGGCTGAAAGCCTGGGCGGATTCCCTGCTGGAGAGGTACTTCTGCTCAAGGAGGGGTTGGAGGGAGACAGGAAATTGTACCCCTTGTATCTTCCAAGGTCTCCAAGTCCAGCACAAGGGGCATCTGGGAACAGGGTTTCTGCCTGCCCAACCTTGGGGCCGCATTTGGCGGGAACTGGATCTGCCTTCACCTGCAGCCCTGTGGGGTGGCGGGATGTAAAGAGCAGGGAAAAGGGGCATCCTGAGGTGGGGGTGGGGGGGGTGAGAAGCCGGGGGAGGGGGCGCCCGGGAGCGCCCTGACCTCGCCGGCTGTTGGGAGGCGGAGGGTATGGGGGTTGGGGGAGAAGAGGGGAGTCTGGCAGCCAATGGGAGGGAGGATCTCGTTTCAAAAGGGTTAACCCACAGCCAATGGGAGCTTGGGGGAGCGGATCCTGCTCACTCCATTCAAGAATCCCAAGTATTCAAGATGGACGGCAGGGAGTGTGGAAGGAGAAAGGGGGCGAGGGGGGAAGAGCGAGATCGGCAGAGGAGAGGGCGCAGCGGCCGGCCGGCCCCCGGATCTCAGTCCCGGCGGGCAGGTGGAGGGGCGGCCGCGGGGGATCCGAGCCCGGCCGGGGAGAGGGGCTGGCGGGGTGCGAGAGGGCGTGAGAGACGGGGAGCGAGGCCAGGGAGGGAAGCCAAGAGGGAGGGAAGGGCAGAGAAAGAGCCCGGGAAGAAGGAGGTGGCAGGCAGAGGAACGTAACGAAGAGCAATGTGTAGGTATCGTGAGCTCCCAGAAGGGTAACGCCACCGATTTTCGGTTTTATTCTCTCTCGGGGAGGGGAGGGGGGTGGTCTGGGCTCTTTCTCTCGTCTTCTCTCTCCCCTCTTCATTCTCCTCCACTTGGGGGCATCTCTTCTATTTTTTCCTTTCGGAACAACTGTAACTGGGAAGCACTAGGCATGTCTTGCTGGGGTGGCTTCACTGTCATTTTCCAGTCGGGGGTGTGGTGGGGAAGGGGTGGGGGGCTCTGCTGGGCAGGGCTGAGGCTGGGCCATCTGTCCGTGCCCGGGCGTGTGTGTGAGGGTGTGGGGCACAGGGGACTTGGCGGGTGTGTTCAGAGGGAAACACAGTGGCCTGAAGGGCTGGAGCAGGGCAGGAGTTCTGCATCTTGAGAAGTTGTGGGGGGAGCTAAGGGGCCGTGTGTGGGTGTGAGGCCCGCTCCTGAGCTAAGGGCTGTGGGGTATTCAGGAGTGCGAGGATGTAGGGGAGCCGTGTGCTCACACTCCAGTGCTTGCTGTTCGGGTAAGTGTGTAGTGAGGGCTGAGTTGTGCAGCAAGTATGGCTGGGAGTTCGTGTGCGCGCGTGTGTGGTCCAGCCTCGAGGTGTGTGCGTGGGGGGCGGGGGGGCACAGTTGGGTGTTGAGGGAGAGAGCCCCTCACCCCCCCACTTTCCCCCTGCCCCTCTCATCTCATTCACAGAACATGGCTTTCAGGACCCTCCTGGTCTCCTCCTCCTGTCGCCATGGCTGCGGGGAGGGGGTGGGAGGAGACAGTTGGGGCCAGCCCCTGCCCCTGCTGCTCCAGCTAACCCTCCACCTGCCCTTTCTCTCCCTTCCACAGGCAGGGCCCCATCCCCTGCTGCTCTGGGGGGCAGGGGCCGGAAGATGGTGGCCAATGAGGAGGGGGAGCGGAGAGAACTTGAGCCGGGGCCTCCCCTCCCCCATTTCCTCCTCGGTCTCTACACCCGCCTCTGGAAGGAGCTGGGGGATGGCTCCTGGGCCTAAGGTGGGGGAGGGGCCCTGCTGGCTGGTGAATCGCAGGGCCCGCTCTGGAATGAGTTGGGTGTGAGAGCCGAGGGGATCTTGGCTCCAGGCCCCTCTCTTTTCTCTCTTCGAGGAGGGGTCTGGGCACGCCTTGGCGAAGAATCTTCCCCTAGCCTCCCTGCAGCTTGCCGGGCAGTCCTGCCTTTGCCCCTCTGCCCCTTGTTGACATGATCCAGTTCCCAGCTGAGACTGGTTTGCCCAACCTAGGAACAGAGGCCTGGTGACTGACCCAGCAGGGCCTTGGTTTCCGTCCATTAGAACTGTGCAAACTGTGGGACGGGGGCCCCATGTTTGCAGATTACAGGAGCAAACGCTGCCTGGGAAGCTGGGGGAGAACCTCTCCTGCTTCCTGAGGCGGGTGGGAGGAAGCTGGAGGGGAAGCCCAGAGGAAGAGCTCCCAACTGGAATTCTGTCCTCCATTCCTCCTGCTGGCTGTGGCGTGGGGAGGAGGGCATCTCTCAGGGGGTCACTCCATCGGCCAGAGGCCTTCGTTGATGAGTGCACCCAGGAATCACCCCACGGCCTCTGCCCCTCTGGGCTGCACACAGTTCACCAGGTCAGAACTGGCGTTGGGCTCTCAGGACCACAGCTCTAGCCAGGAATGTGCCACGCTAGAGCTCTGAACCTTGGCTGTCCAGGTGTCCCTCTAGGGCAGTCTTCTGACTTTGGGTTTTAATCAGTCTCAGGACTGTTTATCCAGGGTTTAAGTCCCTACTGCTAGGATAGGATGGGGAAGTTCTGGGCGAGTTTGAAGACTCCCTCATGGGAGTCTGCATAAAACAGGAAGCAACTCATTCTAATCCCAATGCCCACGAAAGCCTGTCCCTAAGGCTCAGTACAAGAGAGGGAATCAGCCTCAACATTTTGTTTGATGCTGCATCCATAAAGTGGATTTTGAATTCCTCTGAGAGGAGATGCAGGGGTGGGGCTTCACCTGCAGCTTTCACCTCCAGACCTGGAAGCTTCTCTGTGCTGCCTGAGGACCTGTGATTCTACTCCCCCACCCTCTGGTCCTGGAACTCCCCTTCCTCTAAATTAAAAAGGAGAGAGAGCTTGGAGTAGGGCAGAAGAGAGGGTTCGGTGGTCCCAGTCAGCAAACTCCTCCAGAAGGGAAGCTGGCAGATACAAATCCAGATAAACATAGCGTCATGCCAGTGTCCCCAAACTCTTGGGATTTCTACCAGTCACTTCCTGTGAAGATTGAGTGTCAAGTTTCAGCTGCCTCCTTAGACCCTGTCCTTCCACCCCAAAACCTCAAGAAAAAGGTAGTCTCGGTGTTGGGAAGGGTGTGAGGTAGAAGGCAAAAGGAGGAGTGGAGAGAAAATAGAGGATTAACACTGAAAACGGAAGAGAAGGGGCAGAGGGGGACCAAGAGAGCTGAGTGGGCCGGGGCCTGGGAGAAGGGGTGAGGAGGCAGGACCGGCATGCCTCTGCTGCGGGCCGGAGCTCTTTTCACATTGTGCTACTGTCTGCACCTACCACTAGCAGTGCAATGTTAAAAGGGCATTGGCCATGTAGTGCTCCCCAGCGCCGGCTGCCTCCTCAGCATCGAGACTTCCTCTCCCATCTGGGCACCAATCAGCTACCCTGGTGGGGATTTGGGAAGCCTCACTAGTCGTAATCATACCAATAGCTCACATTTAAGGAAGCACTTCCACATGCAGTCGGTGTGCTGGACGCTTCATACATTATGGTGAACCCTAGTAACTTCTTGGCAAGTAACATCCCCATTTTACAGATGAAAAAACTGAGTGCCAGGAAAGTTTAAGTAGTATGCCCAAGGCTGTACAGCTCTTAAATTGCGGAGCCTAGCTATAAGACTGATAGCTCACCCTCATCTGGAGAGGTTTGAGGACCTTGTCTCAACTGGGAGATTGCCTGAGCTGTGGGGTGGAAGGTTTTGATGCCATCTGCTGGTTGTATGAGGGTATCTTCCAAGGTTTCAAGCCTTTAAGGATGAAAGTGGTGGCTTGTTGACTAAGGAAGAGTTCTCAGGCATCCTGGGATTGGAGGGTGGGTGGAGAAGATTGGGAGAATCGCTGTTAGGACCAGAGTAGAGCTCCATGAGAAAAAGGGGATGCACAAGAAACAGCTAACCTGAAAGGACTGCTCCCCAAGGACAGGTGTGTGCCCCTGGCATTCCACACCTGCAGCTCCTTCGCTGGCTCTTGGGGCGTAGAAAGGAGACCTCATCTCCACCTGCCATTCCTAGCACAACCCCTCTTGGCAACAGGGTATTTAATAATGGTGCTTCTCAAGGGTACACCTGTCTGGGCATCCAAGATTTGGAAAGTACTGCCCATGGCCTGATCTTAGAGATTAAACAAGATCCCTTGAGCCAGGCCCACAAAATGATTCTTCCAGGAGAGATGACAAGGAACTTGCGAGCAATGACTGTGCCATTTACTTCTCTGTTTCCCACAGTACCTAGTTGGCTGAATAAGAACTTGTTAAAGTAAATTGAGAGAGAGGCAGATTTGGAGAGCTTTACAAAGGCAGCAAGTTTGTGCCTGATTTTCAGGGTCAGAGCTTGGGGCTGGAGAAGCCACCCTGAACTTTGGTGCAAGAAGTGGGACTGAGAGGGACAGGGTTTCTAGATCCCTTGCTGGAGCCTGAGAGGCGGATCTCTAGGCCTCACCAGGCATGTAGAAGCTGAAGACGAGACCGACTTCCCGGGGCCTCTCAAATGGAGGTGCTGGACATCATTCCTTCGTGGCTTGCATTTGCCTTCTTTGCACCTCCGTGTCTTCCAGTTCTCTTCTGCCCTTCTGCCCAGACAGGGCTTCTCCATTTTGATGTTAACAACAGTATTTGAGATGGCACAGTTCGCTTTATGTCCTTTCCTTCAGTCTATTAACATCTCTATTTGAGCCTCTTCTCTGGGCACAAAACAGCCATTTGATGATGCCACTCCTTGTTGAAAAACAAGACCTTTTCAGTGTCTCCCCAATGCCCTGGGGATGAATCTAGATTCCATAAACGGTTTATGGCCTCTGTCTTTCCTGTGTCATCTCATCTCTCAACCACTTGCACCTTTACTCCAGCTATAGGAAGCTTTTATTTCCTCAAATTAACTGGAGCCACTTGACTCACCAGTTCTCTTTGCCTGAAATATTCCTTCTCCATCCACGCTTCCCCTTTACTCACTCAACCTCAAGTGCCATCATAGTCATCACTTCTGTGGAGCCTTCCTTGACTCCTCAAATCTAGGTTAAGCCTCTCCTATGAGCTCCTGAGCTCATGTCGCATCCCTGCTCAGAGCCCTTGACACCTTCTACTGGAATTGTCTGTTACTGTTTGTCCTCCCACTAGACTGAAAGCTCCATGAGGTCAGGCCCTGGCTGCCTTGTTCTCCATTGCATTCCCAGTGCTTTAACACAATGCCTGGCGAGTAAGAGGCGCTCTACAGATATTTGCAATACCAATGAATGAATCTAGAAATAACAAGCTAGCTGACCAAAAGTGATTTTTATGATGTGTACAGTCTTGCCTGCAGTGGTTGGTGACCCAACAACAATAGGAGTTTCACATCACTGCCAAAAATTCCACTTGGGTCACACGGTTGGATTGATGCTGCGATTTTGAGCTGTTTTGTTCCACTTTGTGTCAACTGCCAGGGCAGCACCTTGGCTGATTGATTTTTCTTTTTAGCCTTAAGTGAGGCCAGGAGCTGACCAAAACGTTACACCGGGCTGAGAGGCAGTGGGACGCAAGAACACCCTTGTTCTCGCATCAGCCTCTTCCAGGTGCTCAGTCCTGGACTCAGGCAAAAATAGATTCATTATCAAGGGCTCTGGAAGACGAGCTGTTTTGGATGCTCCAGCTGGAATACCACTCACAAAAGCCATCCCTCTTACTAAGCAAAAGCTCACCTGAATGCCCATCCCCTCTCAAAGCTCAAGTGGAGTCTTTGCCACAGACAAAGCAATTGCTGCCCCCTAGTGGCACACAGGGACAGGCCCCGGGGATGTGTGTGACTAGACAGCATATGATACCAGCTTGAGGAAGGAAAGTCAGAGGACAGAACGCCTCACAGTTGCCCTTTTTATTAAAAATAGACCCAAACACTTTATGTATCATACAAAAGTTTCATTCGCTGGTGGCAGCCACGAGGAAGCCTGACCCCGCAGCATTATTTTCCCACCTCCCCTCCAAAGGACTGGATTCCAGGGAGCAGTGGCTGGACCTCGGAGAATGCCGGTAAAGACTGCTCGCTCTGGACCCGGCCATCTGGGGGTGGGGCTGTTACAGGGGCAGCTCTCCCCACCCCCACCCAATGGTGAAGGTTAGATATCCAAAGTGCCTCATCAGTGCCAAGATAAACAAGTGGAGTGAAATGGAAACCCCTGTAATTCTTTTATTTTTTTCCCAGGGCCTGGGATTTGGGATTTTTGCTTCCACCCCCAAATCCTTTCTTCTACAAATGGGGGTGGGAAACTTTCCCCCCGAGAGATTCTGGAATCTCCCTGCATCTGAGGCCAAAATTTCACTCCAACGCAAGCTTCTTCTCTGCTATTCTGTGGCCAAGCATCTACCAGCCCCATGACTCAAGGTTTGTCCTCTGTTCACTCAAAGAGGTGGAGCAAAAACGTTCCTCCTAAGGTCCTCTCTGCCTGAGTCTACGCCCTGCCATCGCCTCGATTTTCAGGACCTTGGGGCCAGAAGGACCCAGAACCATCCCTTTGCCCCAGTTCTGTCTCCCTGACTGCTGCCCACTCCTGAGCCTTGAACACCCCTGGGGTACCCCAGACCCCTGTTCCAAAGGGGCCTGGGAGTGATGGGTGGAGGCGGGGGAGGGGTTGGTGGGAGCTGGGTTCCCCCCAGGGGTGGGGCAGTACTCATGCTGGTATGGACTGCTTGGCAGGGCCAGGGGACAGGTGTGGGGAGGGTGGGGCATGCGGAGGAAGGGCACAGCCTGCCTGAGCCCCTCAGTCCCAGCCGTTGTCCTTCACCATGTGTGACATTTCGATGATATACTTCCCTTCCTTGTATTTCTGGCTCGTCTCAAAAGCTTGTTCCTGGGGGAGGGGAAGCAGTGACTGTAGGACAAAGTAGTTCCCCCCTAGGCCCTCCTAGTGCCACCTGTATCATTCCTGCTCCCAAGGGTCCCCCGCCTACTCCGATCCCTCTTCCCTCTTTGGACCTTGCAAAGACCTGATGTGGTCAGTGGGGCTTGGAGGGCCATGGAGACTGTCCACTTTAGAGGGTGGGCCTCTCTCCAGGTACTTACATATTTCCAACCCAGTGTGGTTTTGCAGCTTTCGCAGAAAATATCAGCTACTGAGTGGAGCCCAGTGAGCAGGAGGCGCTGTTCAGCTGGCCCACAGCCCACGTTGACCCTGTCTCAGGAAACAGGAAGGACCCAGCACCCAGTACGGTTGCTCTGTCAGTCCAGCCCCCAAACAGCCCAAAGGAACTTCGATGGGGAGAGATCTTAATCCGCCCAACTGGAAGCCCCTGCCTTCAGCAATCCACCCCTGCATGACTAGGGCCCGGGCCTTCTAGTGCTGTGATGATTCCAATTCTGCCCAGACTCCCCACAAAGGAAGTGCAGACTGAGTTTCTGAATCTTTGCAAAAGTAGAGGCAAAAGCAGAAAGCGCAAGGCCACCTTCTGATGGCTCACCCCCTTTCTCCACAGAGGAAAATTCACACACACGAGCACACATGCCCAAGGAGAGGTAGACTCACACGGAGTTAAACAGGTAGGCTCGGCCATGGCTCCCTTGGAAGGACTGTGGAGAACAGAGGACAGACAGTGACTACGGGGTAGTCCTGGGTCCCGCTGCCTGAATCTCCCAGGGGCATGGAGGAGGGAGAACGGGCTTCGCTGCCTCAGCTCCAGGTGATGTTTGGACAAGCCTGGTGGGAGAGAGGAGAGGAGTGCCGGGCCCCCACTTGGCATACCTTGGAAATAAGCTCATCATGTTTGGCCAGGTGTGCGCGGCAGTGGACGCAGCTGTAGGTGCGGTGGCAGCGGGGCAGGTAGCTGCGGAACGTCTTGGTGGGGAGGCAGGCAGGCCCTGGGCCAGGGTCACAGCTAGGCATGACTGGCTGGAGGACGATGCCCTGGCGGGCAGGAGGGGCTGGCGCCGTGCAGCCCCCACACAGACGGTCGCAGGTGAAGCAGCGGAGCAGGTTGGCTAGAGCCGTGTTTCAGCGCAGGAGAAATGTGGGGGGGCTGCCCGGCCAGGGCCCCCCCAGACGTGAACCAGATAGAAATAGAAGTCACCTGGGAAGAGGAGAAGGTACATCAGGAGAGCCGTGACCTCGTGAGGAGCCCCTCCTAGGGAATGGAGAAGATGGGGCTCAGCTCACCTCTGCCCCTCCTTCCCCCATCACCATCAACCCTCAGCGTTCAGTAGCTCCGTTTCTCCCTGTCCCCTGGATTGACGTCTGTTCTGCTTAGCCTGGCAGCAGTTCCAGGCCTCTGGTGCCGTAGCCGGGGAGGTGGTATCTCTCCCTCCTGGGGCGGGAGCAGCCTCTACCATTTTCCACTGAGAGCAGCCCGCTGGCACAAACGCTGCCATGGGAGCAACGTCATCTGCAAGTGCTCTCTTCTTGATTTTCGGTTCTTCTGTGAGGATCTGCCTCCCACACGCACTGGTAGGCTCTGTGTCTCTGGGGCTCAAAGCCTTTGAAAAGTTGGGGATGCCTGGCAGTTTTTCTTTCCCATGGCCTCCATTTGCAATGCAGTCGATCCTTCATACATTTTGTGTGGGAGGGAGGGCCGGGCGTGATGGGAGAGAGGAGGACAGGCAGGCAGGTACACATACCCTGCTTCAGCCATCTCCTGGGGCTGGGATCCTGCACTCTGGGAACTAGAATGTGGTGGATGTCTCTGGGTACCAAAGACCTCACACGTGGCTGTCACCCAATCCTGCACCTTGTTCCACTCATTCCGGCCCAGAAGCAGCGCCTATCTGTCTTAGCCCCTGGGGCTCTCAGTTTCTCTCTACTACTCTCTACTAACTGTTGCCTTAGCCCTCAGTCAAGGGCTTAAGCATCCTACTGTAGGAGAGACTATCTTTCCTTCAGGCAAACCTAACAGCTGGAAGCAATGGGAAATGGGGACGGCGTCAGGGAGGCCAGCACTCCGCGGCCAAGCAGGGCTGTATGGTGTAGTGTGGGAGCAGCGTCTACAATGGGCAGCAGCAGAGGGGACTCTCTTATTTTCAAAACCTGTGCTTTGGGATACAAGGCAGAGAATGCTTCTTTCCACCTTCTCCCTGGGGCAGGGACAAACAGCAGTGACTCTGTGGGTGACAGAAGATAAAATAATGCTGGGTTCTGATTAGGAATCTTGAGGAAGATGTTCAGACTCCAAGCCCAAAGCGGCTGAGGGTGCTGGAGGCAGAGGATAAGAAGGGAGGTGTCCACTGTTGGTTCTGATAAGCAGGTGACGTGCTGCCTTCTCCTTCACAGGGCCTTCGGGCCCCTTGTGAGTGGTTTAGCCCAAGTGTGGTTCAGAGATGCCAGCTGGGTGCTCTGGCAATGATAGGCCACTAAGCAGAGCAGAGGCAGCATGGCTCGGAGTAGCTGGGGCAAACAGGCTCTTGTGCTGTTCTCTGTGGTAGCCGCTAGCACCCCATCTGCTCCAGCTTTTCATGGGGCCTCCAGGCAGTCTCCACAAGACCCGCAACAGAGACCATCTTCAGTTTCCGGTCCTCTCCCCCGGCTGGGCCCCGGGAAGACACCTTGTGCTGAGTTCAGGGTGACATTGGGCTCTGGTGGCAGAAAACGGGCCCTCCTCACCCGCAGAACACTGTTCGGCATCCACTTCACAGGTCTGCCTTCAACTTTGCCTGCAAGTTCCCCTCTGCCGCGCTGCACCTAGCACACCTTCTTCAGGGGGCTCAGGGAGGGGGCTGGCCAGGTCCCTGCTCTCTGGCTCCTTCCCCAGCCTCCGGCACGCCTCCCTCCCTCTCTCTCCCCCGTGCTTCCCCGGCAAGCCAAGGAGAGGCAGCACAGAAGGCCACAGAATCACTCACAGGACCGGGAGTGGGGGTCATTTCTTCCCCCATGTCCGATCACAGGGAGAAGCAAGTTGGGCAAATGACAGGGAAAAAACAAAGGCAAGCTAAGTGCTGGGGAGAGGATGTTCCCCCAAGTGAGATGGGGCTGGACCGTGGGAGGTGGGGGAAAGGGAGGGCTGGGGGGGGGGCTGCTGCTGAGCAACCAGTGCCGACAGCAGAGGCGCCGGAGGCGGAGGCTCAAGGAACCAGGTGCGAATCCCGTGCCTTTCTGGGGTGGGGAGTGGGGGGGGGGGAAGGGGAGGGGGACACCTGCTTGCAATGGGTTTTCTCATCTGCTCTGAGGCTCCGGCCCCCCCTTCCCCACCCCGGGCTGACATTCTCGGCATGGTATGGTCCAAATAACTAGCAGCGCAGCCAGCTCCCAAGGCGGGCTTTGGGGGTCTGCACCAGCAGCAAAACAATAAACAGTGAAGCCTGATGCTGCAGCCAAAGTTGCCGGGAAATAAGTGCGGGAACCGCCAGAGCTTGGAGAGGGATGGAGGAGCTGAGAGAGAGGAGCGGAGGCAGCGGAGAGGGGGAAGGGAGGACAAAGGGTGGATGAATAATGCTTTTGCAAAGGGGAGAAAGCAACACGCAGCAGGAGGAGGAAATTTGCAAAGGGAAAAAAATTTCATTTGGAGAAGGGCTGCCCCCTCACCTTGAGGTCTGCTCCAGAGATCTCCGTCTATCTCTCTCTCTCTCTCTCTCAATCTCTCTGCTCACTCTTCTCTCTTCTCTTTCCGCTCCTTCAATTGGGAAGGGGATGGGGGCGGGGGAGGGCAGTTGGGGGCTCAAGACTGGGGCTGCAAAGGTGGCCAGCTGCTAGGGGGCCAGAGGTTGTCTCTCGTCTGTACCTCGGTCTGTGGGTGAATGTAGCTGTGTGTTGTGGAACTGCATCATAACACTGTGAGTCATCCATCCCCCCACCCCCCTCACCTCCCACGTCAGAGCAGGGCTGGGAGACACAGGAGGCGGGTCGGAAGGAAGGGAGGGGGCAGGCAAGGAGGGATGGGGCTGGGGGAGTGAGGTAGGGGGGTGGAAGCAGAGGTATGGGATGGGGAGGGGGGCGCGCGAGAGGTGAGGCTGGTTGCTGAGGAGGAAGGCAGTGTGGCCAAGGAGATAGAACCTGGGGGAAGGACAGGGCTGGGCAAGGATGGAGTACGGGTGGCAGGGCTGGACGAAAGGAGGTGGCAAGGCTGGTGACGGTGAGAGATGGATGCAGAGAGTCAGCCGCAGGCACACACATTCAAGATGATGCATTTCCCATTTCAGCTCGGACGGCAGCCCTGACACAGGGAAAAAAAGAAAGATATATTAATTGTCACATATGGCAAACTGTGCCCCTAAGCTTGCACCAGGCACTTCCAAGCCTCAAAGCCTCAGCTTAATCCCCTCGAAGGAGTCATAGACTAAATATATGATATCTCACATGCAGGAACCTCATCAACTACCTCCAAATTACTTGTGCTTCGTGAACAGAAACACCTCCATTACATAAGGTTCTCTACTGGGCTGTAAACTTTTTGAGGCAGGTCCTCTGGGGAACTCCTCTCTGCATCCCAGGACTGCAATGCCTAGCGCAGAGCCTTGCATACAGAAGATGCTCACAAAACAGCAGTTGAGCTGCATCTTCAGACGTGGTCCAAGTGTCTGGCTTTGGTCTCAAAGAGACCTGAGTTGGAAACCCAGCTCTGCCAATATACACACCAGGAACCAATGGGCAACTGACTGATCCCTTCGTGCCCCAGTCTTCCTCTTCTGCTAAATAATGCTAATATTTACGTCATGGAGCTGTGAAGTTAAGTGAGATAACATGTAAACACCTAAAAAGTGCCTAAAAAACACATGCTAGGCTCTTAGTGAACAGTAGTTACTGTTATTGCAAGACTGTTCTCAACTTAATATCCCTAAACCCAGAGAGGATTTATTATTAGATTCTGATATGTTGAGAATATATGCTGTTTTTCTATCAGCTTCCAGTTATGTTTTATTTGACTCAGAATATTTCTCATGGAGCGTTGCCCTGTGCATGTCACTAAAGTATGTGGACACAGAACATAACCTCTAAAATTAAAACTCTGATTTCTGACAGAGGCTAACATTCAGGAAATAAAGTGCGACAAAGATAGTTACTTAGAAAGGACTACTTGTGGGTGGTTTGTTTTTCTTTTCACATGTAAGGAGGGGAGAAAATTAAGATAGGGAAATGTGGTTAATGGGAGGCATTAGTAACTGGGTATGAAAAAATGACAGGAGGGGCTGGCCCCGTGGCCAAGTGGTTAAGTTCGCGCACTCCGCTGCAGGCGGCCCAGTGTTTCCTTGGTTCGAATCCTGGGCGCGGACATGGCACTGCTCATCAAACCACACTGAGGCAGCGTCCCACATGCCACAACTAGAAGGATCCACAATGAAGAATATACAACTATGTACCGGGGGGCTTTGGGGAGAAAAAGGAAAAAATGAAATCTTTAAAAAAAAAAGAAAAAATAACAGGAACCCTGAATATTCGATCAGGGAAGATTCTGGGGTTTAAGGTAAATTCTGAAAACACAATGTGGGTATTTTCAGTGATATTACCAGAGGTTTGGAATTGAGAAGGAGAACTGGGTAAAGAAAGGGGAGAGAAGTGTTCTTGTCTGGGCAGCAGATGGGAAAGGAAATGTAAGTGGAGGAGGAATTTGAGGAACCATTGTTCAGGAAAACACTGGCAAGTGGGGAAAAGGAAGATGAGTAGTTTTCAGGGCAAGGATTGAAAGTTTGGAAGCAAAAAGGATACCAATTAATTTAAATTAACTGAGGAAGAAAACCAAGATTTTGGTGGAGAGAAGAATGAAAAAGACTTATGAGGTCAGTGTTATTTGAGAGTGGGATGGAAATGACAGGAGTGCTTGGTGAGAGACTCAAAGTGAGGAAAGAGAATGTAGGCAAACACAGATGCTCTTAATGTGTCCTGACTGTTGAAAAAGCAAACTGGAGAGCAGTCTAAATGGGGGAGGGGACGGTTTTTTTCTCCCTAAATTTGAGTTGAGATGGCTATATCCAAATAAAGATGACCTTCAGATAATTGGGAGAAATTGCCTCAAGGGGGAGAGTGTGGAGGCGAAGAAACAGATCTGGGAGGTAGATTGTATGGAAACAGGGGAGGATGAGGTCACTCAGGGAGAAAAGTTGCAATTAGAAGACTGAAACTAAAGTTTTGAAGAATGGTGAAAGATTAGGGGATACTTAATGGTTTATTGGAGAACTAATGAGTGAATGGTGAGTGATGAAATAATTAAAGCAAACCATCAAAGGAAAAACTGTGAGAAGTGAGAAGTGAGGATGGCACTGTTAGAAAGTGAGTGCTAAGGTAGAGCCAGTGGGGAAAAAGGCAACCCAGAAAATCTTCCCAGGCTTCTCAAGCAGGATTAACCACGTGAGCTGTGCTGAAAAATGTACTCATCTATAAAGTGGGATGACAATTATAGTATATACTTCACGGGATTCTTGTGAGGATTAAATGAATTAACACCCATAGAAACAGTAAAGCCCATAGAACAGTAACTGGCATCTAACACTATCTAAGTATTCGTTGTTGTTGAAAACTGGACTCGGACGCCAAAATCCTGGGTTTGAGTCCTAGCTTGGGCAAGTCCCTTCAGCTATCTTAGTCTCCTCCCTCATCTGAAGTTGGAGATAATAAAACTGACTTTACAAGCTGGCTGTGGAAGAAGATACCTGAAAGGGATTAGAAAAATGTAAACTACTGTACAAATGGATGGCATTATTATAGCCCCCCAACCTATAATAAAAACTTAGGAGCCACCATCAGATGCTTTCTATGTTACAGGCATTGTGTTTAGTACTTTACAGGCATCATTCCGTTAATCGCCAAACCAACTTTAAGAGGCTGGGTACTGTTATTATCCCTATTTTACAGAAAGAGTTTAAGCCTTTGATTTGCTCAAAGTCACACCGGGAGCAAGGGGCATGGCAAAGAATACAAGATTCCTAAACCCAAACTCGCGAGAAGAGGATTATAGACGTGGCCCAACCTGTTGCCTGCGGGGTAGATGATCAGCCTCATATCACTGTCAGGGATTTAGGGATGGAAACAGAGTCTCCAACAAAACTCCGTAGGAGAGAGGTTGTTGGATAATGACTGACATATATATAGTCTAAGTGGAAGAAATTCTTGGACTTTTATTTTTTTATTTAAAAAATGTTTTTAATGCCCTCTCGGTGCCAAGCACTGTGTCAGGTAGAGGATGATAGCCCAGGTTAGCCCCTGACAGGCTGTTTTCCTTCCCTGTCCCTACCCCTCAGTTTCCTCGTGTCCAAATGGGGTTTTGCTAATTTCCCCCGCTCCAGGCGATCGCGGGACCTAGACCGTGAGTCCTCCTCCTTCCCGCCGTCCTTTCCCTTTCCAGGCTCCAGGTGAGCGAGAACACTAGGGCGAGAGTGCACAACCGCCGCGCCTCGGTGACCATTGGCCTCTTGGCCGGGCCCCGCCCCCGTGCGGGGGCGTAACTGCCACTCCTCTGGCTGGCTTCGCGAACAATGACGGCCGCCGCCCCTCCCACTTTCGGCGTCACGATCAAAACAATCCTTTAACTACAACTCCCAGAAGGCCGAGCGGCGGCGCGAGCTCAACCACTCGCGGCTGTTCCAGCACAACTACATTTCCCAAGGGGCATCGCGCGACCGCGTCTCCTCCACTGCGCAAGTGCGGAACGGCCTTTGTTTCCGGCGTGGGTCTGTGGGAGCGTGGCTTGTAGGTGGGTTTAGGTCCTACCTGCAAGTGCTTTTTGGGTTACCCATTTGGGCTCGTGGCTGTGCAAGGTGAGATAATAACCTCAGGAACTCAACTGTGTGTAGCTTCCTGGGGGCCTGGGAGGATTTCGATGTCTGGGGAGGCTGGGACAAATGCTGGACCTAGAGCTGCGGTCGGGATCGGAAATAATTCTTCCCTATTCCTCGGCGTTTTCTAGTTTACGAGGTAATATTTTCTTCCAGTCATCCCTCTTAAGCACCAGAACAACATTCTGAGTGAGGAAGTGTAACTGCCTCCAGTTGACAGTTGAGGAAAATGTTGAGAGAGGTTAAGTGATTTGTCCAAAGACACTACTAGTACTTGCTGAGCGGAGCCTTAATGCTCTTTTCTAAGTCCAAACCCGGTATTCTCTTCTTTGCATCCAGATGGCAGACGCCCTTTCTTGTTGACTAAGAGGACTGGGGAGTGAGTATCTGTTGCGTTCTTAAGTCTAGAATATCCCAATAGAGTGGAGAAGGGAGCGATGAAAGTGATGTAATCAAGTCTATCAATCTGTAGATAGAGTTTTTTCTTATGTCTGAATGATTTAGTCACTCGTATTTGTAGAGGTGCCTATAGGATGTCAAGCCCTATTCTAGGTACTGGAGATACAGCAACAAATGAAAATGCCCAACCTTTACATTCTAGTGGGGATAGAGAGAGAGATGGTGATCCAGAGATGAGAAAAATAAAGCAAGGTAGGGGCGCCGGCCTGGTAACATAGTGGTTAAGTTCGTCTGCTCTACTTCAGTGGCCTGGGGCTCACTGGCATGGATCCCAGGCATGGAGGTACATGCCGCTCATCAAGCCATACTCTGACTGTGTCCCACATACAAAAATAGAGGAAGATGGGCACAGATGTTAGCTCAGTGACAATCTTCCTCAAGCAAAAAGAGGAAGTTTGGCAACAGATGTTAGCTCAGGGCCAGTCTTCCTCACCAAAAAAAAAAAAAGGGGGGGGAACATTGGTTGGAGCATTTTTTTTTTTTAAGATTTTATTTTTCCTTTTTCTCCCCAAAGCCCCCCAGTACATAGTTGTATATTTTTCTTAGTTTTGGGTCCTTCTGGTGTGGCATGTGGGACACCACCTCAGCATGGCTTGATGAGCAGTGCTAGGAGCCCAAGAACTTAACCACTCCGCCACCAGGCCGGCCCAACCACTGGAGGATTTTGAACAGAGTCCCAACTATGTTTAGCTCTGATACTTAATTTGTGTTCTAGGTACAGCAGCTACACGGAAAAGATGGGAGAGGAGGCCAGTGATGACAAGAAGCCAACAACTAAATTCGAACTAGAGCGAGAAACAGAACTTCGCTTTGAGGTGGAGGCATCTCAGTCAGTTCAGTTGGAGCTGCTGACTGGCATGGCAGAAATCTTCGGCACAGAGCTGACCCGAAACAAGAAATTCACCTTTGATGCTGGTGCCAAGGTGGCAGTTTTCACTTGGCATGGCTGTTCTGTACAGCTGAGTGGCCGCACTGAAGTGGCTTATGTCTCCAAGGATACCCCTATGTTGCTTTACCTCAACACTCATACAGCCTTGGAGCAGATGCGGAGGCAGGCGGAGAAGGAAGAAGAGCGAGGGCCCCGGGTGATGGTAGTGGGCCCCACTGATGTGGGCAAGTCCACAGTGTGCCGTCTACTGCTCAACTATGCAGTGCGTTTGGGCCGCCGTCCCACTTATGTGGAGCTGGATGTAGGCCAGGGCTCTGTGTCCATTCCTGGTACCATGGGGGCCCTCTACATTGAGCGGCCAGCAGACGTTGAAGAGGGATTCTCTATCCAGGCCCCTTTGGTATATCATTTTGGCTCCACTACTCCTGGCACCAACATCAAGCTTTATAATAAGGTCAGAGCCAGAGCGAAGGTGGGGTGGCGGGAAGGGCTGCTATCAGGGTAGGAAGCTGTGCAGAAGTTTGCTAGTTAAAACTGGGTTTGGGGGCTGGTCTGGTGGCGCAGCGTTTAAGTTCGCACATTCTGCTTCAGTGGTCCGGGGTCCACCGGTTCCGATCCCGGATGCGGACATGGCACTGCTTGGCAAGCCATGCTGTGGCAGGCGTCCCACATATAAAGTAGAGGAAGATGGGCACCAAGGTTAGCTCAGGGCCAGTCTTCCTCAGCAAGAAGAGTATTGGCGGCAGTTAGCTCAGGGCTAATCTTCCTCAAAAAAAAACAACTGTGTATGGCCATCCCTTTGCTCCCCCTCAGCTGGAATTACCGCCACATGATTTTGGAAAAGACAGTTTCAAATATAAGTCAACTGCAGATGGTTAAACGTTTCTGTGGACCTATTCTTGAGTCATTTATTAGATTTCCACTTAGGACGTGAAACAGGAGACAGAAGAAACATAAAATAAAAATTAAATCCATATTATGGGGTCAAAATCACAGCCATTAAGAACGTCATTTTTGGGGCTGGCCCCATGGTTGAGTGGTTAAGTTCTCGTGCTCTGCTTTTGCAGCCCAGGGTTTCACCGGTTTGGATCCTGGGTGTGGAGATGGCACCGTTCATCAGGCCATGCTGAGGCGGCGTCCCACATGCCCACAATTAAAATATACAACCATGTACTGCAGAGCTTTGGGGAGAAAAAGAAGGAGGAAAAAAAAAAAAAAGATTGGCAGTAGTTGTTAGCTCAGGTGCCAATCTTTAAAAAAAAAAAAATGTCATTTTTCTTGTACCTAATACCACTTATTCTAAAGTGGGACAAAACAGCTATAGGTTTGTTCATTTTTGTGTTTTTTCCCCCTCACCTTGATCCTTTCTTCTGCAGATTACATCTCGTTTAGCAGATGTGTTCAACCAACGGTGTGAAGTGAACCGAAGGGCCTCTGTGAGTGGCTGTGTCATTAACACCTGTGGCTGGGTCAAGGGCTCAGGTTACCAGGCCCTGGTGCATGCAGCCTCAGCCTTTGAGGTGGATGTGGTTGTGGTTCTGGATCAAGAACGACTGTACAATGAACTGAAACGGGACCTGCCTCACTTTGTACGCACTGTGCTGCTCCCCAAATCAGGGGGTGTGGTTGAGCGCTCCAAAGACTTCCGGCGGGAATGTAGGGATGAGCGTATTCGTGAGTATTTCTACGGATTCCGGGGCTGTTTCTATCCCCATGCCTTCAATGTCAAATTTTCAGATGTGAAAATCTACAAAGTTGGGGCACCCACCATCCCAGACTCCTGTTTGCCTTTGGGCATGTCTCAGGAGGACAATCAGCTCAAGCTAGTACCTGTCACCCCTGGCCGAGATATGGTGCACCACCTCCTGAGTGTGAGCACTGCTGAGGGCACAGAGGAGAACCTTTCTGAGACAAGTGTGGCTGGCTTCATTGTGGTGACCAGTGTGGACCTAGAGCATCAGGTGTTTACCGTTCTCTCTCCAGCCCCTCGCCCACTGCCTAAGAACTTCCTTCTCATCATGGATATCCGGTTCATGGATCTTAAGTAGGGATCAGCAGGAAGCCTTGCTGCCTGGGGTATAGAGATCTGGCCGTTACCAAAGGCAGATGGACTGGGGTTTGAGACTCTATTGAGGCCAGGCTGACCAGGAAACGGTGGACTAGTAGGAAGCATATATTCTACCTCTTAAAACAGGTGGTGGCGGCCTAAGTCTTCTAATCTTGACCCACGAGGAAAACCATGAGAATATAATTGATTTCTTAGATCACCTAAGGTGCCACTTTGAACTCTCTGAGGCCCTGGAGAATCCCATTTCTTTCACTGTGCTACTATGCGGACTAATTTTTAGGACGGGTTTTTTATCACTGCCTTATATTCTGTATAGAGTACTTGTTATCTCATTTATCCAGGATGAAAGAGTGAATTAGGAGGATTCCTTCCAATAAAGTTCAAACTTGGGGAAAAAATATATTTTAATAAATATTTTTGCCATATCACAGAAGTTGGTATAATTTTTTAAAATTTTGTTTCTCCCCCTAAGCATTAGAGAAACATTATTGGAATGATTTATTGCTAAATGCTTAGAGGAGGGGAAACCAAGAGCCCACCTGAGAGCCAAGCAGGTGAATTTTTATGATGGTTCCCATTTCCTCTGCACTTTTGTAAATAGATGTTAAGTCTGTTGTCAGTGTCGGGTTTATAATGAGGGACTAAAGAGGCTAGTAATAAACTTGGGATGAGATTTCAGATCTAATAATTTTCCAGAGCTCATTTCTTTTCAGCTGCAGCTATCTTTCCTATTGCCTGTTTGATTAGAACCAGGCCCTAAGTCAAAGTGTAAATTGAGCTTTCCGGTGGTTAGAAGCTGGGAAAGCCCTTTCTCTTTGATCTCTTGCAAATGATTGGTGTTCCTAGTTTGGACTTGGATTATTGAATAAGTATCTGATGCCCTTCATTCATTCAAATATTTATCGAGCAACTGCTGTTTGTCAAGAACCATTCTAGACGGGGAACAAGATAGACAGAGTCTTACACAGCTTACATTATAGAATAAACAAAGATAAGTGTTATACAGAGACTTAAAATTGGGTGATAGGAACAGTGACTGGGGGGCTACCTTAGATTGGGTGGTTGGGAAAGGCCTCTCCTGAGCAAATATTTTGAGTTAAGACCTGAGTGGCTGTGTGAAACTGGGGCAGAATCTTCCTCGTGGAAGGAAACAGTGCAAAACTCTTAAGAAAGAAAAAAAAAAAAACTTGATGTGTTTGGTGAAGGGAAAGGCCTTTTGATGTGTGGTTGAAGTGGTGAATCAAGGGGAGAGTGGTGAAATT